ATGCCCTTAATCCATGTGGATTGCTGTGTGTTCAAGGCCATACTAACAAACAGAGCCTTTAATCCCAGTACCAACCATAGAGACCTAGAGGTCTGTACATGCAGCAGGAACAAGGAAGTGAGGTAGCTGGGCAAAGAGCCAATGAGAGGGCAGAACATCAAGGCATTAAAGGCGTGGGTAAGATAGGAAGTAGCTTGTACTATGGGAGCTGCAGGGTGGTAAGGTAAGGTTAGCTGGTGGCTGTTCCAATTCCTCTCATCTCTGTCAGATTTTTCACCCCTATTTCTGGCTTCATGTTTGTGTGTGTGTGTGTGTGTGTGTGTGTGTGTGTGTGTTTGTTTGTTTGTTTTTTTATTTAATAAGACCACTTAGAAATTCGTCCACAATTGGAGCCCACGTGGCAAAAACTCATTAAAAAGCTTTGATGGAATTACAGGCCCGAGGCTACAGGCCCCCCCAAATTGGCTGGGGTTTATAAGGCCCCAGGCTCGGCCAAAGCTACAAGCTATCTGGGCTACACGCAACTGGAGCTGCTTTGCGGCCAGATCTCCAACTCACATGGCTGGAGTCTTTTTGGCTTTTTTAGCTCCTGGTAGGTGGTGAGCTCTTGCTCTCTCTGGATTTCCATCTTGGGCTGCAACCACACTAGGCATCTGCTTTGAAGTTTCTTCAAACTTCTACTGTTCTATGCAGACTTGGTAAGTCAATTAAGGATTTAAAGGGAGAAACTAGTTTAAAAAGATTTTTCCCCCCACATTAAAAAATGGGAAACATTTTTACAATGGAAGAAAATTGGTCTTTGAATGATAACATATTAGCAGTCTGAAAATGGAACAATTAGATGAGAGGATAATTAATGTTGATGGAATGTATGCAACATCAATTATAAATATTATTTGTTTAATCATCCTTATTTTAGTATTAAAAAGGTTGGTCAATTTAACTATCAAGATAAAAGTTTTAGAAAAACCTGTTAAAATGAATCATAGAGAAATTCAGACTCAAACAGAAAAATTCAAAGATGAAACTAACTCACGATTGACTTTAGGAAGAACCTGTTATAATGACTTATAGAGAAATTCAGACCCAGACATATGAATTTAAAGGTGAAATTATTTCAGGATTGAATTATACAGTTATAGAGAGACAGTATTTTTTCAAACAACCAAACTTAACATACCCAGTAACCTTACAGGAACTACCTGCTCAAGAGAGTAACAAGCTCATTGGACGCCAGTGGAAATGTTAGATTTAAGGAGATTTAAGGAAGCTATAGTATCCTATGGCATTTGTAAAGCAATTATAAAACTCATGGTCAACTTGTAATAGGATTATTCCTCAGGACTGGAAAGAATTGATAGCAGCATTCCTGGAGGAAGGGCACAATTATAGTGCCAAACATGGTTTAAGGAGGAGGCTAAAACAATAGAACACAAATGTAGAACTAGAGGTGTGGAAATTTCCCAGGATCAGCTTCTTGGAGAAGG